CATCATCACCAACATCACCATCATCGGGACACCATCATCACCATCATCACCATCAACCGCAGAATCATCAACCTCACCACCTTCATCACCATCATCATCATCATCATCATCATCATCATCATCATCGGGACACCATCATCATCTTCACCATCGTCATCATCTCATCATCGCATCATTGTCAACATCAAAATGACCATCAACATCACCATCATAGGGACACCACCGTCACCATCAGCAAGATCAGCATCATCAACACCATCATCATCGGGACAGCAGCTTCATCACCACCATGGCCATCATCATCATCACCATCATCGGGACACCATCATCGTCACCCTCATCATCATCATCATCATCATCATCATCATCATCATCATCATCCTCGGGACACCATGATCATCATCACCATCATCGGAACACCACCATCATCACCACCATCTCACCACCATCATCGTCATCATGAACAACGTCATCAACATGATCATCATCGGGACACCATCATCAGCAACATCATGATCAACACCATCATCATCGGAAACCCATCATCATCGTCACCTTCATCATCAAAATCGGGACACCACATCATCCTCAGCATCAGCATCATCATCACCATCGGGCCACCACCATCTAAATCATCATCACCTCATCATCATCCTCATCAACATCATCATCAGCATCTGGACACCATCATCGCCATCATCATCATCATCAGCAACAACCTCATCATTATCATCGGGACACGATCACCACCAACACCATCATCATCAACAACAACATCATCAACCTCACTATAATCATCATTGAACACCATCAGCATCATCACCATCATTACCATCTTCATCATGACCATTATCATCTCATCATATAATCATCTTTAACATCACCCAAATCATCAACAGCATCGTCATCATCAACATCATTATCTGCAACATCAGCACCATCAACATCATCATCATCATCATCATCAGCATCATCATCACCACCATCATCATCGGGACACCATCATCACCACCAAGTCCATCATCACCATCAACATCGTCATCATCATCATCAGCATCACCATCATCATCACCATCATCATCATCATCATCATCATCAGCAGCAGCAGCATCATCATCATCATCATCATCATCATCGGAACACCGACAGGACACCGGGCGGGACACCGCGTGGCACCAGTTGCCGGAAGGGAAACTGTTGGTCCGGCCGCGCCTCAGCCAGAGGCGGGACATTTGTCGCCCGCCCACGCAGCTTCGACGCGCCCGCACGCACGGCACGCACGAACACGAAACCGAAGCCGATTTTCCGGTAGGGGGGCTGTCCGTTTCACTTCGATCTCACCCCATCACCTCCGATAGTACCTCGCGCGCGCGGTCCGTCAAAGAGTCGCGGGGGCGCGTGATGGCGAACGTCTGTGGCAGCGTCGCCCTGCCGCCTCCGAGGGGCGTCGGCCGCCGGCCGACGAGTAGGCCATCGCACGGCCGGAGAGGCCCACGCACCGGAGACACCCAGAGAACCTCTCGGACATGGCGTGTGCCGAACGTCTCGTGGGCTCCTGGTGGCGGTCTCGCCTCGGGGTGCTTTCCAACAGCTGCGCATCGCCGAGAGCATGCTGGAAACGTTCGACCCATCCAAAGCGGCCGCCGTTCGCACGAGTCCTGTCCAGGAGAGCGCGCAGACCGATCCCTCGGAATCCTCGATGCCAATTTGGTCCGTCGAAAATCATGCAGGGCGGAACTGTTATGTCTTCGGCCTCTGGGGGGGCCTGCCGGGTCGGCGGTCCCACAGGCGGCGACCCGCGACCTACAGGCAACGCGGGAATCGCTGCTGAATGGACAGGTCAAGATACTTTTTGCGTCGCAGCCGCAGGCGAGAGCGCCAGCGGCGAGTAAGGTCCGAGCGGGCCGCGCAACAGCCTCTTTGCCTAACGCCGACGGGCCGTCGACCTAAGCAGCGCCTAAGCTGGCTGGCCGGCGTGAGGGGAGGTGCGGGCTGCAGCTGGCTGCCAGGGACCAGGTCCAGGAGCGCGCACATGCACGATTAACCAACCAGGGTAAGACGCGGGGGTGGTACCAGGATGTGGCCAAGAAGGCAGGCAACAGAACACTGCGTCAGCTGTCGACTGGTCAGGATACGCGCAGCGTCAAGAATGTCAGAGCGGGCCCCCCGTGGCCACGGCTGAGTCATATGAGACCCCGAGGACTCGAGCACAATCGGGCAGAAGGACGGGGCTCCAATCCCGGCCCCAGCCGCGGGGGCGACGCCTACGACACCGCCGGCGGCGGCGGTGGCGACGGCGGCGGCCCCCGCGACCTCTGGTGCGCGGCCTCACGATCTCTGGTGCGTGCGGGGCGGCTGAGGCGGCCTCCGTGCTTCGGGTCGGGCGCCACCAGGGGCATGGTCAGGGGGTGAACGTATTTGACCAGTTTGCCAGGCGTCTCCTAGGGCCAGGTGCGCCCGTGCATCGATGGAACAGGAAACATCGGCATGAGCTTAAACATTTGGCGCTCCGCGCGGATTTCTTGAATCTGCGCTGGGCCCCCCTCCCTGGCGCGCGGAGCGCGCCAGGGGCGGCGCCGGAAGCACCGCCAGGGGGGCCCAACGCAGATCCAAGAAATCCGCGCGGCGCGTCGAAAGTTTATGCTTATGGCGTCAGTTCTCCAGTGGATCGAGTAAGGGTTCGGCAGCGAAGCTGCAACCAACTGCACGCAGCAGATTCCGCGACCCCCTGTTCCCAATCCCGTATGGCCCTCACGCTCCTCGCCTCCCCCGAAAGCCGCGCGCCAGAGATTACTCTGGCGAAGGGTCAATCTTACGCGAGACGTCAAAAGCCTCCCAAATGGCCCAAATGGGGTCCGAGTAGGTGGAGTCGGAGGAGCGCGCCGCATCCCCGATGGATTGCCGTTGCATCGGCGACGCCAGCGATGCATCGGCGGAACACAAACGAGGCCGAACATGTTCGTCGTTTGCGGCCTCCATTTGGGGGCCCTCGCCACGCTCCTGCGCCATCAAACACCGACTCGGCATGAAAAGCCACCCCCGGGGAGAACCGCTTCCCTCGGACGATCCCGAAATCCACACCACTTTCCTTGAGATAAGATCGAGCCATGTTTTGGCCTGCAGAAGCCGAGGACGCCTCTCTCCTATCACGGTGGTCACTGCCCTGCCCACCCAGCAAATATGCATCCCTGGTAATTCAGCGTGCCCCGGCCGCAGAGCATGTGGGTCGGACGATCGCGCCGCATCGCCGATACATCGACGATGCATCGGCGATGCACTGGCCATGCGATGTCGACGTCGGCGATGCATCGGCGACGTCGACGGGAAGCAAATCCGCCGATCCGGCGTGTGAGTTTCTGAGAGCGTGGGCTTGAGCTCGCTCAAGCTTCGCTCTGCCGAGAGGGGGGGGACCTCATTTCCGACCTAATTTCCGACCTAATTCAGTGCTTCGCCCCACCCACCCCTCCAGAGCGGACCCCCCCCCCTCTGCCGAGAGGGGGGGGACCTCATTTCCGACCTAATTTCCGACCTAATTCAGTGCTTCGCCCCACCCACCCCTCCAGAGCGGACCCCCCCCCCTGCAGAGCGCCCCCCCCCCCCCCCTCCTGCAGCCCAGCCCCCCCCCCCCTGCAGAGCGGACCCCCCCCTGCAGCCCCCCCCCCTGCAGAGCGGACCCCCCCCCCCTCCCCTGCCCCCCCCCCTGCAGAGCTGAGCAGACCCCCCCTGCCGAGCGAACCTCCCCCCTGCAGCCCCCCCCCCTGCAGAGCGGACCCCCCCCCCCTCCCCTGCACCCCCCCCTGCAGAGCAGACCCCCCTCCTGCACCCCCTCCCCCTGCAGAGCGACCCCCCCCCCCTGCAGAGCGGACCCACCCCCCCTGCAGCCCCCCCCCCTGCAGCAGAGCGGACCCCCCCTGTCCCTGCAGAGCAGACCCCCCCTCCTGCAGCCCCCCCCCCCCTGCTAAGCGGACCCCCCCTATCCCCTGCAGCCCCTCCCTCTGCCGAGCGGACCCCCCCTGCAGAGCAGACCCCCCCCCCTGCAACCCATCGTCGTCGTCGTCGTCGTCGTCGTCGTCGTCGTCGTCGTCGTCGTCGTCGTCGTCGTCGTCGTTCGTCGTCGTCGTCGTCGTCGTCGTCGTCGTCGTCGTCGTCGTCGTCGTCGTCGTCGTCGTCGTCGTCGTCGTCGTCGTCGTCGTCGTCGTCGTCGTCGTCGTCGTCGTCGTCGTCGTCGTCGTCGTCGTCGTCGTCGTCGTCGCGGTCGTCGTCGTCGTCGTCGTCGTCGTCGTCGTCGTCGTCGTCGTCGTCGTCGTCGTCGTCGTCGTCGTCGTCGTCGTCGTCGTCCTCGTCGTCGTCGTCGTCGTCGTCGTCGTCGTCGTCGTCGTCGTCGTCGTTGTCGTCGCGTCGTCGTCGTCGTCGTCGTCGCTCGCGTCATCGTCGTCGTCGTCGTCGTCGCTCGCGTCGTCGTCGTCATCGCCGTCGTCGTCGTCGTCGTCGTCGTCGTCGTGGTCGTTGTCGTCGTCGTGGTCGTCGTCGTCGTCGTCGACGTATTCGTTTTCGTCGTCGTTGTCGTCTTCCTCGTCGCCGTTCATTTCCACAGGCGCCCGGAGCGCCCCCGATCGGCGGCACTGGCCGGAGGCCACTACAATCGGGCTTGACATCGGGCCGCATCGGCGATGCATCGGCGATGTGGCGCGATCCTCCGACCCCCTTTTTTTCTCCGACCCTGCCTGGGAAGCCTGGAACATGAGAGCCGAGGATAGGGGGAAAACAAACCTACCTCGCTTTTGACCACCCTCGCTTCCAAGAGATACCAAGCGATGCCAAATTGCAGCCTGTACTGGTCAGGCCGCTTGACGAGGAGGCGCGTGGTATGGCTTGGTTTTGCCTGGAAGCGAAAGCGGGGTAGGTAATTCACGCTCTGAATCATACCCGCTGCGTCAAGAGGAGGCATGGAGGCACGAGCCGAACGGGCGGCGCGGCGCCGCTGCCCAGGCGGGGCTGGCCTGTAACCCGCGGGCGGGCCGTGCCCGTGGTCGCCCGGCGGCGGGGCGAAGCCGCCGAAGTCGCCCGGCGGGCGGGGGGGGCAGCCGCCGGGCGCCGGGGGGCCGTAGCCGTAGCCGCCGGGCGGAGGGCCGTAGCCGTAGTCGCCCGGCGGGAGGCCTGCGGGGGGGGGGGCACTGCACACCAACACCTGGCCCGGCCCGGTCACGGGCCGGGGGTCGGTGCGCTCGCGCCCTCCTGGCATTCGGGCCAGGAGAGGTGCACCGACCCCGGGCCCGAGATCGGCCTGGCCAAGCTGGGTGCCAGTGCAGAGTCGGCGCCCTCCGACCGTAGCCGCTCGGCGGGGGGCCGTAGCCGTAGTCGCTGGGCGGGGGGCCGTAGCCGTAGCCGCCTGGTGGAGGGTACCCCGGCGCCCCCTGCGGCGGCGGCGGCGCCCCTGGGGGCGGCGCGCCGGAGGGCGACAAGGAGGCGGAGGAGGAAAAGGAGGAGGAGGAGGAGGAGGAGGAGGAGGAGGAGGAGGAGGAGAGGAGGAGGATAAGGGGTACGAGGAGGGCGAGGAGGAGGAGGAGGAGGAGGAGGAGGAGGAGCAGGAGCGAGTAGGAGGAGAGGAGGAGGAGGAGGAGGGGACGAGGGGCAGGAGGAGGAGGAGGAGGAGGAGGAGGGAGGAGGAGGAGGAGGAGGAGGAGGAGGAGAAGAGGAGGAGGAGGAGGAGGAGGAGCGGGAGGAGGGGGAAAAGAAGGAGGACGGAGAAGGTGGGAAAAGGGGCGTAGGCTCGTGGACACCACTGACAAGCCTGGTCAGGGCGGTCATGGGCCCTGACGTGGTCTGCACGCCATCCTGGCCGAGGCAAGGAGGGTCCCGCACATCATCCTTGGGCCCAGGATGGCCCTGGCCAGAGACGGTGGCGTATAATCCCACCAGCCCTTTGGGCGTGAGTGGTTTAGAGAGCCCGCTCTGTTCTCAACCCCCCTTCTTCCCCTTCGGGGAGGGGTTTACCCCTCCCCCTACCCCCTCCCCTGGGCCTGGAGAGGTCCCTTCGCGGGTCGTCAGGGGAGTCATTTTCGACTCCTGGGAGGGCTAAAAAACGACGACCCTCACGAGGATTCTGGCCCCGACGGGGGGAGGGAGAAAAAACCCTCTCCTCTTCTGTGGAGCGAAAATCATTGATTTTACTACGGTTTTGGCCCCATTTTGGCCTTCTGAGGGGGGCAGCGCTCATTAAAGTTCTCCTCTTCCTTCAAAGCAGAATCATTGATTTTACGAAGGTTTTGGGCTCATTTTGCCCTTCTGAGGGGGCAGCGCTCATTAAAGCTCCCCTCTTCTTTGATCCATTCCCTCCAAGATGGCCCCAAGAAGCGCCCAGGAGGCACCAAGAGGCCCCAAGATGGTCCCAAGAGGCCCCCAGGAGGCCCCCAAGAGGCCTCCAAAAGGCCCCCAAGATGCCCCCAAGAGGCCCCCAAGAGGCCCCAAGAGGCTCCCCCGAGGCACCCAAGACGCTCCTGGAAGCCCCTGGGGCCGCCAAGAGGCCCCCAAGACGCCCCAAACGGCCTCCAAGAGGCTCCCAAGAGGCCCGAAGAGGCTCCCCCAAGGCACCCAAGACGCTCCTAGAAGCCCCTGGGGCCGCCAAGAGGCCCCCAAGACGCCCCAAAAGGGGACGAGGTGCCCGAACGCCTCACGCCACGAGGAGCCCGAACGACTCACACCAGGACGAGGGGCCCGAACGACTCACACCACGAAGAGCCCGAACGACTCACACCAGAAGGAGGGGCCCGAACGACTCACACCAGGACGAGGCGCCCGAACGACTCACACCACGAGGAGCCCGAACGACTCACACCACGACGAGGGCCCCGAACGACTCACACCACGAGGAGCCCGAACGAGTCACACCAGGAGGAGGGGCCCGAACGACTCACACCAGGACGAGGGGCCCGAACAACTCACACCACGAGAAGCCCGAACGACTCACACCAGGACGAAGAGCCCGAACGACTCACACCACGAAGAGCCCGAACGACTCACACCAGGAAAAAGGGCCCGAACGACTCACACCAGGACGAGAAACCCCAACGACTCAAACCACGAGGAGCGCTTTCTCTCCCTCCTCCTCCGCCTCGTCCTTCTCCCGCTCCCCCCACAAGGAGGATGTACAAGGAGGCGGGAGGAAGGAGTAACAGGGGAGATATGCGGGGCCAAGCGGACACACGCCTGAAAAACACGACTGTCGGCATGCTTCGCAAGAGTTGCTGTTGTGAGATGGGCTGGTGGGGATACGCGAAGCGTAAAGAATTGCCCTCTGCGGATCCCGAGGGGGAAGGAGGCGGAGGAAGCAGGAGAGGGAGGAGAGGGAGGTGGACGAGGGATCATAGAGTAGAACAGAACACCGCAGCGGAGCTCCAGTTAAAGGCAGCTGCGTTGAGCTCCGCGCGCTGCTTGTGTAGCCTGGCCTCGCTGGAGACGCGGGTGGCCTGTCGGGCGCCACGCGCGCTGCCCGATCCCAGGCGCCCCCCGGTTTCGGGCGCAGCCTGGGGGGGGGGCCCGGCCTCGAGGGCCGAAGGCCACTCTCCGCCGCACCTTCTCGGACCGCCTCGGCCCTCGCGGCCACCTGAGGGGACGAGCCTCGGCCCTCTCAGCCGAGGGCGCCAGAGGGGCAGGAGGAAGAGGAGGAGCAGGAGGAGGCGGGGAAGGTCCGAGGTGCGAGTTAGCTCCTCTCTCCCCTCCCTTCCCGCCGTCCCCACGACCAGCACGGCGCCCACGACCGCGACCCCCACCTTCCCCCTTACTATGTGCAGGCGCAGCCCTGGGATGGACCATCAGGGGCACCACAGGGAGGCCAGAGTGGGCATACGTCGCAAAGGCTGGGGAGCAGACGACAAAAACGTGGGACCGAGACGTGCACTGCACCTTGCGCTTAGCACCTCCTCCTCCTCCTCTTCCTCCTCCTCCTCCTCCTCCTCCTCCTCCTCCTCCTCCTCCTCCTGCCTCCCCCCCTCTGCACCCTTGACCCCCCCCCCCGGTCCTGGATGCCCCATCGGCGGCGGACCCCACGCTGGCGTCGCTTTGGCTTCTCTGATTCGCTTGGCCAGCGCCGAGCCGGTGTTCCTGGGCAGGGGTCGGGGGCAGAGGAGGAGACGGCGGACAAGGGGGAAGGGTGAACGGACGGGGGGGAACAGGAGGGAAGGAGGGGGTGAACGAACGGGGGGCGAAGAGTGAACGGACGAGGGGGAAGGGTGAACGGACGAGGGTGAACGGACGGGGGGAAAAAGGAGGGTGAGGAGAAGGAGGGATGCACGACGGGAGCGAGGAACAGGACGAGGAAGGGCACGAGCAGGCACAACAGTTAGATCAGCAGCAGGCGCGGGAGCAGGAGGGTCAGGAGGAGCACCATGAGAACATGAGCCGGAGGAGGCAGGTAGGGTTGAAGCACAAGCGGGGACTACCTCCCGTCGCCTATCCCCGTCCTCCCTTCCCGTGCTCCCTTCCTCCTCCCGACTCGATCCCTTCCTTCTCCTCTTCCCTGGATCGCTCTACTACGGTTCGGGTGCGACCTCGTTCAAAATCTCATTTAGAACGCGCTCAGGTTCTAGCTGTCTTGGGGACGAGTGATTCGTGATGACGGGCCCTTCCCAAATAGGCGCTCGAAACAAACGCCTTTGCTGCTGAATGCACGACTCGGATAGTGCTGGGGGTCCACGCGCGCTTAGGTTCTAGCAAGCACCCGCCCTTGACGCATTCACAACGGCATCCATGTACGCACATACCTACCCACACATGAACGTCATGAATTGAAACCATAATGGGAAAGGCGGACCGAGCATGACCGTAAGAGGTAAGTCCAAGCATCATCCACAAGACGCACTGCAAAACAGTGCAATGCCGCGAAATGATTGGAATGCTTGGCAGCGGAAGTGAACTGCAATAGTCCCCCCGAGGGAGCTCCGGGAGACCAGCAGGAGCGCAAGGGGCCCTGAATACACTCTGGACGAGCCCGATATGAAGGGGCCCAAGGACACACAAATAAATACACACAAATAAACTAATTCCCAATATTTTCTCATACGTTCTGGGTTTTTGTCTTCCCCCCCACTTCCCATATTTTCAATTTTTTTTTCGGGGAATCGACGAGTAATTGTGTCCGTGTGTTTTTGTCCCCTCCTGATGATAGGGGGGGGCGTGGCGGACGAGGACCACTGCCAGACGAGCAGCCTTCTCGCGGAGTCCGCCGCCGCCCTCCTCCCCCCCGTCCCTCCCCTCGGAGGGGAGGGGAGGGAGGAGGATGGCAGAGGGAAGGGAGAGGGGGAGGGAGAGAGGAAGGACGAGGGAGGGAGGAAGTGGAGGGAGAGGGCCCTCTGCTCCACTCCCCCCTTCCTTGCTTCATGTAAGGCTGGCTAGCAGACAGAACGCGCGTGCAAGTGATTCGGAGAATCAACCCTGACAAGCCGGAGCCCTCCTACACCATCCCGTCTCTCCTCCTGCCTTCCCTCAGCCCTCCTCCCCTCCTCCCTCCCCTTCTTCCTTCCCCCCACCTCCTGTCCCTCTCCCTCCACTTCCTCGTGCTGGCGAGGTTGCCGCGCGACAGCACGTGGGCCTCGCGCTACGCCGACGATCGGCGTAGGCCGGACCAGGGAGGCGGCGATGACGGCACCAAAGACGACCATCTTGCGAACACGTGAATTAACAAACTGCTGTGACCCTTGCTTGTTTGCACCCCTCCCTCGTACCGCGCCCCCCGAGTCCATGAGCCGGTCCCGTTTTGTAGGGGTTTTATGTCATACCAACTCCTGGGAGAAATGCTCAACACAGAGAGCCCTTCCTGACCGCCGAGGGCGCGTGGGAGTAAGTGGGAACAGTTGCCGTCGTGGTTGGCCCTTCGTCAGCTTGGCTAGCCTGAGATTTAGAGCCTCCTGGCCAGGGCGTCTGGGAGAAAATGGCGAAGAGATACCGAGCGGGAGCAGTTGTCGCCGTAGTTGATTGAGGCTTCGCCACCTCGGCTGACTTGTGAGGACGTCTCGGGCGAGAACGCCATTCCAGAATCGTGTGGCCCCTCTGGCCAGAGCGTCTCGGAATTAACTGTGAGGAAGCAGCAAACGAGACCCATTGTCGGCGTGATTGTGCTTTCGCCAACTTACCTGGGTTGCAAGCGTGCGTCGGGCGAGAACGCCATTCCTGAGTCGGGGGGCCTCTCCGGCCATGACGCGTCAGAGCAAAACCTGAGGAAATGTCGAGCGGGAGCAGGCCGTTGCCGTCGTAGTTCGTAGTCGGGGGCTCAAGTGCTGGGATTGGGCCCCAAGCCTGCGCTCGAACGCGAGCTTCGCTTTCAAAGAAGCTGCACCCATCATCGAAACGAAACTGCCCAGAGTTGTTTCCATAGGTTCACCATCACTGTTTCCTAGGAATGACCATTCAACACCACCAGGACGACGACGACGCCGACGACGACGACGACGACGACGACTGGCGAAACGGGCGCCGACGAAAACGGCGGCGGCGGCGCGATGACGGCGGCGGCGGCGTCGATGGCAGGAACGACCCAGACTTGCTTGAGGGAGCTCGAAGTGATTGGGAGCTTTTCGCCAATGTTGTGCATCGGGAGATCTCTGGAGGTCTCTTGGGGGCCTCTGGGGGCCACCCGAAGCCTTCCATGGAGACCTGTGGGGATGTCTGCAGATCGATGACGGCGCCGAATCATTATTCATTCGATCTTGTGGTGGCGCCCCCACTCCCAAGATGGACCCTCCAAACGATGGTTACGCGCACATCGATAGACGAGGTTGTTAACTTGTGCCCCAAACGGACATGCAAATCGTTGTAAAGATTGCGAAAAATTACCCTGCGACGTACCCAGCCCGCGTGCATCAAATGGCAAGAGGAGTATGCCAACATTAGCAGGAACAGCGACAGTGTAGACGCGGCGATTTGCTGCGCAAGCTACATGGGATGCGCATGCGTTGCACGATTCACAGGACGACGATCGAAAAAACGAGGATTGAGGCCCCAGGATCGAAGAAGAACGGGTACGGGAACGAGGGGTAGGAGAGGGATGGAATGGAGGGCGGGGGGGGGCGAAAGGCCATCGCGGAAGCAGCAGCATGCATGGAGAAGGTGAGGCGGGGAATAGGACGACGATGAAAGTGGCGGGAGGAGACAGAAGACTGCCGCGTTTTTCAAGCGCGAGCTAAACCCGCAGCGCTGCCTGCGCCATGTCGTCGCAGAGTTCCACATGATAAAACTTGTTTAGAGTGCAAGGAACGAGCGAGGCGTAGCTCGCCCGCTAGCTTCTCCGCCTCCTTCCCGCACATTTCAGCGCGGGAGCTGAACGCTCGCAGGCGCGCCGCCAGGTCTGCGGGCGGCCCGCGGGAAAGAAACTCAAGGCCGGGGTCGCGTATCATCAATCGGTTGTCCATCGTCCAAAGTTGCACTGGCGACGTACTGGTTGAACGCGGAGCGAGCAGCATCACGCGCGTGCCTGAACGCCACGCAGGTACAGTGCACGCGCGATTGGGACTTCAGGTCGATCACGCGCGTCTCCACCAGGCGACTTCAGGTCGATCACGCGACAGTTTCACAGATCGCAGCCCCCCAGGGATGGCGAGGTCTAATCTGTATCCCCGTAGGGCGTCACTCCGCTGGGCCCCCCACGCAGCCTTCGAAAGTGGCGACAGTTTCACAGATCGCAGCCCCCCAGGGATGGCGAGGTCTAATCTGAATCCCCGTGGCGTCACTCCGCTGGGCCCCCCAGCAGCCCTCGAAAGTGGCGACAGTTTCACAGATCGCAGCCCCCAGGGATGGCGAGGTCTAATCTGAATCCCCGTACTCCGCTGGGCCCCCCAGCAGCCTCGAAAGTGGCGACAGTTTCACAGATCGCAGCCCCCCAGGGATGGCGAGGTCTAATCTGAATCCCCGTAGGGCGTCACTCCGCTGGGCCCCCCAGCAGCCTCGAAAGTGGCGACAGTTTCACAGATCGCAGCCCCCCAGGGATGGCGACGGCGTCGCAGCCCCCCAGCAGCCCTCGAAAGTGGCGATAGTTTCGCAGATCGCAGCCCCCCAGGGATGGCGAGGTCTAATCTGAGTCCCCGTAGGGCGTCACTCCGCTGGCCACCCCAGCAGCCCTCGAAAGTGGCGACAGTTTCGCAGATCGCAGCCCCCCAGAGATGGCGAGGTCTAATCTAAGTCCCCGTGGGGCGTCACTCCGCTGGCCCCCAGCAGCCTTCGAAAGTGGCGACAGTTTCACAGATCGCAGCCCCCCAGGGATGGCGAGGTCTAATCTGAGTCCCCGTAGGGCGTCACTCCGCTGGGCCCCCAGCAGGCCTCGAAAGTGGCGACAGTTTCACAATCGCAGCCCCCCAGGGATGGCGAGGTCTAATCTGAGTCCCCGTAGGGCGTCACTCCGCTGGCCACCCCAGCAGCCCTCGAAAGCGGCGACAGTTTCGCAGATCGCAGCCCCCCAGGGATGGCGAGGTCTAATCTGAGTCCCCGTAGGGCGTCACTCCGCTGGCCACTCCAGCAGTCCTCGAAAGTGGCGACAGTTTCACAGATCGCAGCCCCCCAGGGATGGCGAGGTCAAATCTAAGTCCCCGTGGGGCGTCACTCCGCTGGCCCCCCGAGCAGCCCTCGAAAGTGACGACAGTCTCGCAGATCGCAGCCCCCCAGGGATGGCGAGGTCTAATCTGAATCCCCGTGGGGCGTCATTCCGCTGGCCCCCCCAGCAGCCCTCGAAAGTGGCGACAGTTTCACAGATCGCAGCCACCCAGGGATGGCGACCGCAGGCGGGAGGAGGCGGGAGGAGGAGGCGGGAAGGAAGGAGGGTGGAGACCGCAGTGCTCTATTCAAAACGAGTACCCAACGCAAGAGGGTTGGGAAAAAAAACGTCGGCCCTATATAACGCCATCTCGCGAAACATCATGATCCAGACCGGCCTATTTTAACATGATCCCGGCCGGCCCCCGTACTCAAAACTGTCGGTTTGACATCACGGCAACCTTTTGGAACCCACGCGTACCTGAATTCGATGTACCCGAGAGCATCTACGACGCGGCGCTGCGGGCAGAGAGCTGGCATCCCATTAAGTCGTCGTCAATTTGTGCGGGTCCATGTCTCGTACACCCCAGATGGCACAACACGGCCCGCAAACTGTTATCGCACGTGCAAGCGAGGTCGCCTGTCGGCCTCCAAAGCCACCCGTACTTTGCCCACGAATCTGCACGAGGCAGCGAAAGGAAAAGAGGGATGGAAACAGGAAAGGAAGAGGGGCGGAGGGGAGGGGGGACGGAAATACGAGAAGGGACTGCGGAGGTACACGAGCGGGCGGACGACGACGATGACGAATCTCCGCGTCCTCCCTCCCTCCCCTTCCCCCTCATCCGCTTCCGCTCCTTCGTCCCCCATCCCACTTCCCCCCCCATCCCCTCCTCGTCCTCCTCCGCCTCCATCTCGTTCCCTTCCCCCATTTCCCCTCCCTCCCCCCGCCCGCCCCCCTCGCTTCCCTCTGCACCGCGTTCCATGTTCACACAACTTCTCCCTGTTTTTGCTCGGCTACACCAGAGCCCGTGTAGGTGACACCACTCCGCCCAAAACGCGCGCAAGCTCTATCGCATCCCCTCCTCCCGCGATCAGGCCACGCACGGGGTGAAAACTTAGCGGATCATGCCGACCTGCGTTGTCACGCCCGCTCTCCCAAAGTCCTAAAACACCGTCGGTTCGCCACGCTGTGCCGAAACGCGCTGTCAAGGACTAGCGCACACCACCACGCAATCTATCACCACAAATACAAGTGTGCAGCAGCTGATACCTGCTCCACAACCTTCCAGTTGTCAGCTCTACGGATGCATCTTTGTCGTAGGCACGGGAGACAACGTGCGATGCAGCCCCGCTGAGGGCGCTGCCATGGCCTCAGTTCGAACGCGCGCCACGCGGCTCAAGTGCAACGCCCCGATGAAGCCGATGCCGCCTTGGCGCGCATTTCCTTCGCGGCAATCCGGGGGCGCAAGGCAGCCGCGCGGTCGGCCGCGGGGGCGGGTTCGCTGGCCTGCGGCGGGCGGCGAGCCAACCCGCCCGCCAAAAGCTGCTCGTCGCCGGCGCCCTCCAAGCGCTCAGCCATGCTGGCCCTCATGGCCCTCGCCTGGCGCCAGACTGAAGCCGCAATCGCGATGGCGGCCGCCGGTCTGCCAAGTGCGCTGCCAGTCGAGTCACTCGCGGCGCTCGGCGGGGCGCGCGGCGGGCAGGCCCTCGCCGCCTGGCCGCTGGGCTCGCGGGCGCCCCTTGCGCGTGCAGCCGCGGGCACCTCGCGGCCGTTCCGCCTCGGAACTCCGCGCGCAGCGCCGCTCGGCTCTGGGGCCCACGGGCGGCCGCGCGTCGAGAGGGCAGCGGCTGGCGCGCGCGGCGACCCGTCCGGGCCAGACGGATGCCTTCCAGAGGCGCGCTGCTACGTCGCGGGCCATTCGCGACGGGCGCCTTGCTTCGCCGGGTCGCCCCTGAGGTCGTCGGCAGCGACGTGGCGGGCCTGCGCGGGCTTGCTGATGCCCATCTTTTTCCCAGCGTAGCCCCTGGCAACGCTGCGGGCCAGCATCCGCGCCGCGCGGTCTTGATCGGGCTCGAGAGCCGCCCTTGGCCCCCGCGCGTCCCGACTCGTTCCGATCCGCGCCGCGGAACAGTCCACCTTCGAAGAGGGCGCGGGGTCAAGCGACTGGACAGCCGTGCACAAGCCCCACAACTCCGCGGCGTGGATGCCAACTGCCCGCGGCCCGGCGCTGCCGCGCGCCGCTGCCGCGAACGGGCGGTCGCCGTCACGCGCGGCAATGTAGCCCCAGCGGGCGGCAGTTTGTGGAGGACGGCCTCCCCGCCAAGTCTGGGGCCGCCCGCGCGAGCATCGACCCGCGCGGCCAGCGGGCCCGGCCGGGCCGAGCGCCAATTTGAAGGGTTCCTGCTCGGGCGGCGGGCCCAGGGCAGACGCGGGGGATCGCGCGATTCCTCTCATGAGCAGGGCGAGGCCAGCTCGGCTCAGCACCAGCGTGCCCTCGAGGCCCGTGCGCTGGCGGACCGGCGGTTGAATCCAAACGGGGGCCGTCTGCTGCCCGCAGGGCTCCGCGGCTGGACGCGGCTGGACGCGGGGCGCCAACTGCCCTATGACCCCCCCGGTCCTCGGCCCGCGGTTCGCACAAACCCGCGCGCGCGAGGCCTGTGGTTGGCTGCGCTGCGCGGCCTCGCTCGGCGCAACTGCCCGTTCGCTAAGGCTGACCTCGAGGCGCCCTGTCGGGAGGGCCCAAGTTGCCTGCACCCCCCCGCGGGGAGGCTTGGAGAGGGGCCGCGCGAAAAGCCCGCGCCCCCGCCGGAACTGCGGGCGACGCGGGCGCGACGTCGCTTCTTGCGTCTGACTGACTTGACTGCTGCGCGCGGCGCGGCCCGCGGCTGGCAAACCCCGACGCGCCGGTCATACATGACGCGCGCGTCGTTTTCTGCGAACACCTGCCGTCCGAGCCGCAGGGCCGACGCCGCAAAATCAGCGACGGGGCCGCGCGCGATGGCACGCAGCGACGGCCGGCCCGCCATGGCAGCGATGGCAGCGGACGCGAGCTTCCCCAAGGCAGGCCATGGCAGCCAGCCCCCCCGCACTGCCTCGGCCCACTTGGCCCACTTGGCGACGCAAGCAGCCTCCCCGCGCGCGCCGCCTTCGGCGCGGTGATGTCCTCCGTCCACCGCTCCGCTGCCACCTGGCGCCGAGGCCGCGGCGACTGCGGCGCGCTGGGGCCGGCGTCGGAGACTCCCGCGCACGCCGCGCAGGCCCGCCCCTGCACAAGGGCCGCAGCGCGCCTGGCCCGGAGCGCCCAGCCTAGCCGGCCGCGGCAGGCGCGGCCGGCTCAAAAGGCCCGCGACCACTTGGCTCAAAGGCCGGGCGCCCGCGAGCGGGTAGTTCGTTACGGAGCACAGCGTCGGCCGTCGCGTCGTCGAGGCGCGACTGCCAATCGCTCGCGCGCATCAATGCGGAATCGCCCAGGTGCCGAAGTCGCGGCGGTCGGCGCAAAACTTCGACTCGCCGAAGGTCGCCTGCATATAGCGCGGGCCTGCTGCCCCAGCGCGCCTCGGCACGCGCGCCCGCTTTCGCGGCGCGACCCGCGGCCTCCGTCGGGGCCCGCAAGGGAATGCCCTCTGCGAGGACCAGGCCCGCGAGGGGGATCGCGGCGCGGCCGACCTGGCCCTTGTCGCCGCCCACGGGCGCGACGCCCTGCGAGGCGCGCGAGGCGGCGGCCCAGATCCCCCCCGGCGGCAGAGACGACGACCGCGCCCGCGGCAGGCACCTCGCGCACGCAGTAGCCGAGCCCACGCTAACCACGCTTGAACACCCGGTCGCTGCCTTCCCCAGGGGCCTCCGTGAAGTCTGCGGCGTGGTCGAGGATGAAGCGGTCACACGGCTGGGCGGTCGCGCTACCAAAAACTGGCTCAGCGCGAGCTCTAGCGTCGAGGGCGGGTGTCTGCCCCGAGCTCGGCGGGGCCAACGTACCCCCTGGGCTCGCGATCTTGCCCAGGATGCGCCGTCGCCAGGCAGGTCGCGGCCCGCCCCGGGGCCATCGACAGATCCTGTGTCGCACGGGCCCGGGTGAGCAGCCTCGCCAATGCAGACGACGGCGGCGAAAAAGAGGAGGAGGTTCATCCACAATGCGTGCCACCTACTTGCTGACGAATGGCGACGAGACAGCGGACACCGTGTCCAGATTTTGCCGGCCAAGGCGTCACGCCCACTGCGGAGGAGTGTTGTCCGCTTGGCGTGGCCGACCTGGCTCCATTTGTCGTCGTCGGCCGCCGAATCGTCGAAGGAGGCAAACTTTTCTGCCGCGCTGGGGGCCGCCTCCGCGGCTGCACTAGCACACTCGGGGGTCTGAGCGGCCACCGTCGCCTAGAGGCGCGCAGGCTGCCGCGGACGCGAAAGACGCGCAACCAGCTGGGCGCGCGGCGGTCGGCTCAGCGGAGGGCGGGCGCGGCCGCGCCGGCGGGCGCCCGCTCCGAGGCGCGCTGGGCCACCAGGGCGGCGACCTCCGCGGCGGCCTTGGCCGCTGCGGCCTCGGCCTCGGGATTCGATATTATTGCCGAGCGCTCCTTGCGCCCAGCCTCCCGAGCCTGCAGAACCGACTTGGCGTTGACAAGCTTTTGGGACATGCGCGTCGAATGGGCCTCCGCCGCCGCCAGCTGCCTACTGATAGGATTGGTTGCCCGCCGCGCCGCCTGCGCAGCAGAGATGTCGTCCAGGAGTTTCGCGACGCAAGAATCGCAGCCCCGGACGCCAACTTGGGCAAATCCGCATCATGAACCTTCGTGGGCCGGTCGCGGGCCAAGGCGACTGCCTTGCCCCCCTCATTCTCGCTGTCGACGGCCATGCCACCAACATCGGGTTCCGCACGGTCGTCGCCGGCACCCCGGTACCCCCGCAATTGCTCAAATTCATTTTTGAGTCCCGAGACGTCCTGGGCATGCTTGCGGCTGGCGGCGTCCAGCTGCTGCCGCAGTTTCACCTCGCCAGCGGCACCGCCAGCACCGCCAGCGGCGACTTCGCCGTCGCGTTCGACTTGGGTTTCGCTCTAGAAGGCGCTGGCGGCGCCGTCGTCGTTGCAAGCGCAAGCCAGCCGCGCGAGCACCTTGTAAGGCGCGCCGTTGCCGCATTGGTGACGTCCGGCTTGCACGGCCAGTTGGTCGCGGAGCCGCACTTGCGGCAGCCCCAGTATGGTTTCTTGGCGGCGCCTGATGGCGACATCCCCATCCATGGCAGGCGTTTGCGGGCCGTGGTGCCTGTCCAGCAAACGCCGCACGGCTTCCAGGCGGTTCCGAGCTGGGGGCTCGCCTGCCGGTGCCAGGCGTGCAGCAGGAGCCGGGCCTGCGCGCGGCGCAAGCGCGCCCGGTGGGTGCCACGCTGCCTCGGCGGCAGCGGGCGTTACGACAGCGGGCGCTGGTCTCAGCCAAGGCAGGGTCTGCGCAGGAGGATCGCGAGCAAGCCTGCGTCCCAACCTCCTGAGCACACATGTGTCGTCGGCGGCGAGGCAGAGGCTGCCCGCTCCAACGTGAGGCAATTCGGGGCAACCGAATGGCTAATTTACCTCCTGAACACAGGCTCGAGCCCAAACTCAGCGATACGGACGGAGGCTGGCTCCTTTTCAACACGGGGTTCACGCTTGATTCTTCGCCAGATGCTCTGACCCGAGGTCAAAAAATTAGAGAACGGCTGCGCACACGGACGGAGGGAGGAACTGCCCTGCAACTAGAAGAATGGAGGTTTATGTCCTGAACTGCGGGCTCACACCTGGATCCTGGGCCCACGGGGCGTTCGTCAGTACGGGTGCCGAGCCGCGCCGCGAAAAAGGCCCCTAACAGAGATTAGTGAGGTGGGGATCGGTGGCGTACAACATCGTCGAAACATCTTGGGTCTACTCTGGTCACCCCTCAACCCCCACATCGTCCTTGTCCTTGTCGTCCTGCCCCTCACCCCTCGTCCTCGTCCTCGACCCCCCCTTCCTCCCTCGTCCTTCTCCTCCCCCCTGGTCCCCCTGGTCCTCATCGACCTCCTCGTCCTCCTCGTCCTCCTCGTCCCCCTCGCCCTCCTCGTCCTCCTCGCCCTCGCCCTCCGCCCCCCCCTCCCCCATCCCCCTCGCCAGCCCCTGCCACCCAGGGGGGGGGGGCGTGGGCGGCCTGCACCTCCGGGGCCTCCGCCCGCAGCGCGGCGGCGGCGTCCGCGTCCAGGCCGTTCGCTTTTACGAAGGTGTCCACCTGCGCGATGACGATCAACGACGCCGCCGCCGACGCCGACGCCGCCGACGCCGACGCCGCCGACGTCGACGCTGCGACGCCGACGCCGACGCCGACGCCGACGCCCGCCGACGCCGACGCCGACAACGACGACGCCGACGCCGACGCCGACGCCGACGCCGACGCCGACAACGACGCTGACGACGCCGACGCAGACGACGCCGACGCCGCCGGATCCGCTGCCGCCGCCGACCACGGCGGGGGCCGCGCTGGGCTCATCGGGGGGCCCCGCGGACAGCGCAGGGAGCGCTGCGCCCGTCCTGGAGGCCCTCTTAGGACATCTCAGGGTCCCCGTGAGGAACGCACGTCCACGCCAGTACACATCGTCGCGCCCGCTTCGGGGCCAAGGCGATCAGCCGCGGAGCACTCTTATTCAGACACTCCGCCACCCTCCCCGACGAAGGGAGGCCAGGCCCTGAGAACACAGGACATTTTAGGTGGCAATCGGTCTGTCTTGGAGGCCTGGGGGGCCTTTCCCGGACGCCGTTCGGTTCGGGGCCAGCTCCTTTCCGGATGCCGTCCGGTGCGGGGCCAGCTTGGGCCGCCCCGGGTTCGTCTCGAGGCCCTCGTGGGCCCTTGTCGGGCCATCGGGGGTGTGCTCTTCACAAGGCTATCGCAGCTGCTTGGGACACCGAGGCCGACCAGCCGAACGACCGAGTGTGCAAACATCGTAACGCACTCCGGGGACGCGGGGGCCTCTGGAGGGCCGCTTTCCGGGCGCCCGTGGGCCGTCGTGGGCGTCTGCCGGGCCGCGAGGGCTCGCCTGGGGGGGCCCTGGACGTCTGGAGCGGTCTCCGAGGCCCGCTGGCCACATCTGAGGGGGCACCTGGCCTGCCTTTGCGACGGATTGCAAAAAAACCTTTGACGGAAGATTTGCAAAAAGGATTGCAAAAAAAAACCATGCCTTTGACGGTTTTTTTTTTGCAATCCTGCCTTTGACGGGTTTTTTTTGCAATCCTTCGTTGCAATCCTTTGACGGGCCCGCGGCCGGGAGTGCTGGGCGGCTCCGCGTGCTGGCGCGCGGGAGGGCCCCGACACAGGCCAGCGGGTCCCCGAGAGGCCCCCAAGAAGGGCCAAGCGGGCCAGGAGACGGCCCAAGAACGCCCCCCCGACGGCCCAAGATGGCCGAAAGCAAATTTGGGCGTCCTCACCTTTCGCGTTTCCAACGTTCCAAGACGGCATAGGAGTACCCCAAGGCAACCACAAGACGGCCCACATGGACCAAGAATCTGGCCCCAAGGCGGCCCAAGAGGGCCCAAGCGGCCCCCAGCAGAGGAACCCGAACTGAAATTTCGAGCCCGTGTGAATCGGCCGCATACTTGTTGTGACGATTTCTCGCGATTTCCAATTCGGGTTTTTGCGGCAAAGGTCAGTGGTCGACCCCGTTGCTTCTGTCCAGGGGACGCTGCATCCCCTTACCGTTACCTTAGCGTTTGGTGGGCCGTTCGCGCGGACGAAGGCGAAAATGCGCGGAGATAAGATCGTCCCATCCCACGTGGTAGACCTCGGCGGGCTGCTTGAGCACCTTGTCGACGTTGGTGACTTGACCATTGGGTCGGGAGCCTTGAGACGGGGTCAATGCAGACGGGGGTTAGCCAGAGAGCGCCAAATCCTGCAGGACCCTGCGAAGACCCCTTCTGGCTGACCCTGGGTTAGCGAGCCGCTCGTGGACACGCGAGGCGGCCGCGCCCATTGGCTGACCCGGACCCGGGTTTGCGAAGACCTGCGTTGCAGTTTTTGTTCCCCGCATGGCAGTTTTTAGTTTCCTGCTGACCCGGGGGGCGCCCCGCCGCCCCGGGGTCGCGGCGGTGCGGGCGCTCCTCCTCCTCCTCCCCCTCCCCCTCCCCCTCCTCCTCCTCCTCCTCCTCCTCCTCCTCCTCCTCCTCCTCCTCCTCCCTCCTCCTCCTCCTCCTCCTCCCCCGCCTCTGCAGAAGATCGCCCATTGGGGTCCGAGCCGCATGATTCGGTAACTCTCGCTGGCGAGGGCTGCGTCGGAGCCGCGCGGCTCGGAGGCGACGGCCTCGGCGGCCTCGCCTAGTCTCGCGCAGAGTGCGCGGGCGCCGGCCCCGCCCGTGACGCGGCGGGGCCGGCGCCCGCGCACTCTGGCCTTCCGAGAAGTGTTCTCTGTGCCTGCGGGGAAGACGCAGAAAACTGCTCAGAAGGCCGAGGAACTTCCGAGCCTTCTGAGAAGGCATTCTCCTGGGCGCGTCCTTCTCCCCCTCCTCCTCCCCCCTCCTCCCCCTCCTCCCCCTCCTCCTCATCCTCCTCCCCCCCTCCGCCTCCTCCCCTCCTCCCCCTGCCTCCTCCTGCCTCCTCCTCCGCCTCCTCCTCCTCCGCCTCCTCCTCTCCTCCTCCTCCTCCTCCTCCTCCTCCTCACACCCCCTCCTCCTCCTCCTCCTCCTCCTCCTCCTCCTCCTCCTCCTCCGCCTCCCCCTCTTCTCCTCCTCCTCCTCCTCCTCCTTCCCCTCCTTCTCCTCCTTCTCCTCCTCGTCCTCCTTCTCCTCCTCCTTCTCCTCCTTCTCCTCCTCCTCCCCACCTGGGCACGCCGCCGATCACAGACTGCGCCGCCCGTGCCCGGCGTGGCGAGGACAGAGCGCCGACGTCCACGGAGCAACGCTGCCCGAGGCCCGCCGCAGAGACGTGCGCTCGCCTCGGGTCGGACCCCCCACGACGGCCGAGGAGGAATGGCGGCTCGCGGAGCGCGGCGGCGGCGAAGAAGTGGCTCTACAGGGCAGTTGATAATACATAGGATTTGTTTGAAGTATTGGAATTTTAATACATGCTGAATGTATGAACAACTTTACGCATGAACTCATCGTTGTTTTGAATACTAAATCCTTGCATGGCACTCTACACCAAAAAAGCAAAACAAACATTCACACTTGAGATGGATCCTCAACCAACTTGCTCGAGCATGACAGCCAGTCCCTGACGGGTTCGCCCGCACGAGAAGGAGATCCCAGCGGTGACTCACACGGCAAGACACCCCAGGGGCCCGAAAAGGATCGCTGGTCCGAATCGCAAGAAGGACCCTGACCAACACGGGCAAGTGGCTCTGAAATGTGGCCTTGACCGTATCTGGGAACGCCCCGTCCAACTCGAGTTTGATTTCGTGGTTGGGGCTGCCCCTGCGGCGCTTGCGGGTTGCCCACTGTGCCGTTGCCTCGCCACCAGATACAATGGACGCTGAGAGCTGGATCGAGCGTGACCCGGGCGGCGTTCTGGCGACACCCAACCGCGGAGGATCTGAACTAGTAGAATACCGTTTATCCTTTTTGAGGCGCGCGTTGGTCGAACGACGACCGAGAATGACCAGTGCGCCGCATCGAGGCTCATCCGCTCGCCGTTGACGCGGCTGGACCCTTGGCTCGGTGGCGGGCCGAGGTCCAGCAGATCCTGTGCTGACCAAAAGAGGCAATGGTGCACGGTTTCCCCCGGGGCCGTAGGCGACCCGACAAGAAGGAGGAGGAGGAGGAGGAGGAGGAGGAGGAGGGGGAGGAGGAGGGGGAGGAGGAGGGGGAGGAGGAGGAGGAGGAGGGAGACAGGAGGAGGAGGAGGAGCAGGAGGAGGAGGAGAGGAGGAGGAGGGGAGGGAGTAAAACGAGAAGGAGGAGGTAGAGGTGGAGGAGGAGGAGGAGGAGGAGGAGGAGGAGGAGGAGGAGGAGGAGGAGGAGGAGGTGTCGCCTGAGCCCTTCGGAGAGACCCTCCAGGCGCTGGAGATCCCTGCGGAGCTTGGTGGGGCGGTCTGCGTGCTCGCGGCCGGTGCGGGCGTGTTCGGGAGAGGCATCCGCCAGGTGCCGGTCGCAGACCCGAGCGGGCTCCGTCCGCGCCCGCCTCCTGGAAGGCGGCTGCGCAAGCCCCCTCGCGAGCGAGCTCGGGCTCGGGAGGCCTGACGACTTGACCTTCGTGGGCTTCCTGCCGGCGCGACCGGCAACTGCGGGGCGGCCACGGGGTTGGAAGAGCGAGAGAGAGAGAGAGAGAAAGAGTGAGCGGGGCCCTGTCCAGGCAAAGGCCGGGGGGCCTGTTTGCAGGTCTGGGCGTGACACGACACGTTGGACCAGACGCCTCAGAGAGAGAGAGAGAGAGAGATAGTCGGAACGAGGGAGAAATATTAGACACAAAAAAAGAGAGAAAGAGTGTGAGAGAGAGAGAAATAGAGAGAGAGAGAGAGAGTCGGGAAGCAAGAGAGAAATAGTCGGGAGGCAAGAGACAGCGAGAGAGGAAGAGAGGAGCGAAGGGATGGTGGAGAGACCGAGGCTGGGGGCGAACGAGGTCGGGCCACCTGTCGCGAACGAGCGCCACGAGCGAGCGTGACGAGCACGGGCAGGGCGCGGGAGGGATTATTTGCCGTCGCTCGGGCGTCCAGTCCCAGTGAATCGTTGTGCCTCGCGCGTGGGGAGCCCAGATGTTCCGAGGTGGTCCAGGTTGTTGGGCGCTGGTTGCGCCGAGACGAACGCACGCGTCGGGGCGAGGCTGCCGAGGAGTGGCCCCGACGCGAGCGGGCGCTGCAGCGGGCAACAAAAAAGCGGGTGGCCCGCGACGGGCCGGGGGCACACGTCACGACACGTGCACACGGGAGAGAAGCGCGGCCGCACGACGGCGACGACGACGGTCACGGATCGGCGACGATGACGATGGCGACGACGCGGCCGCACGGTGACCTGAAGACAAAGGAGCGCGGCCGCACGACGACGACGACGACGACGACGAGGACCGCTCGTCGCCGGCATCGCCCTCGGAAGGAAGCGGCCCCCAACGCGGAGAGGGCGCGCGCACGGCGGCCGCGAGAGGGGCGCGCGCCGCGGGCGTGCGGCGCCGCGGGCGTGCTGCGCCGCGGGGGTGCGCCGCCCGCCTCTCGGCGCACCTGCTCCTTCAGCTTCTCGCCTGGCGCGCGCGCGCCGCCCCGCCGCGCGCGGCGGGTGGGCGCGGCGGCCGCGGCGCGCGCGTGCCGCGGGCGGGGCGGGAGGGAGAAACGAGGACGAGGATCCAGGATCGAGGATCGAGGAGGATCGAGGATCGAGGATCGAGGATCGAGGAGGGCGGGCCAAGGGGCGGGATCGAGGAGATCCAGGGTCGAGGAGGGCGGCCTGGGGAAACGATGCCCGCGGATCCAGGGCCGAAGAGGATCGAGGGCGAGGGAGGGGAGGGCCGGGGAGGAGCGGGATCGAGGATCCAGGATCTTATGTTGCATCCTCGGGGGACCTTGTCTGTCCCGTCGCGGTCCTGACCGCGTCGAATCCGTGTCGAATCCATGTCGGACGCGTCGGATCCGTGTCGAATCCGTGTCGCATCCGCGTCGAATACATGCCGAATCCGCGTCGAGTCCGCATCGAGCACGCGTCGGGCTCCCAAAAAGACACCCATTTTTGGGACAGGCGAGGTCCCTCGAAGATGCAACAAAAAGGATCTAGGAGGGCGACGTGGAGAAACGATGACTGCGGATCCAGGGCCGAAGAGGATCGAGGGCGAGGGAGGGGAGGGAGGGCCGAGAAGGAGGATCGAGGGGCCTGCGTCGGAGGGGGCAGGTCGGATCCTGCCGCGGAGGGGCCCTCTGGTGCGGTTCCCGCTCGGATGGGCGGGAAGAGGGAAAAACGCACGCCGTATGCGGCACGTGCGCACCGGCAACTGCACCATACATTACGCCACGGGCGCGCGATAATTTCACCGAACTTATCCATACACTAAGTATGAGAATGCAAATCAAAAGCAGCACGGGATCGGAGGGTGCATTGTTGAAAACTGTGGCCAAACATTATGTGTTCTCGCTGCTCGGATGCTGCAGGACCTCGAGAACACGGAAATCATACACTAGTGGCGCGCCGCCAGAGCCCAAACAGCGGCTGACGCAGGCGCGTCGCTCGTAAACTCGCCTTTGACCTACGGTCAGTGTCGAACGGCGGGCCTCGTTAAGCTACGTTACGTGTTTATGCGAAACTGTTATAGCAACGGGAATACAATTGAGATATAGCGGGCAAGCTTTCTGCATCGGCAAGAAACGTACCAAGAGTGAAGATGCACTACAACAAGAAACAACCGCGGAGCTCGCGCAAGAGCGCACGCACAGAAGGCAAGCTCGCTATTCCAGATGAGCAGCTAGTCGAGTCAAATCAAGGCCCTGTGCGGTGAAACGACTTGCCTCATCTTCGAATGACTGAATACCCGCCACCAGCTGTAATAATAATTAATGGTTCATACAACGCTTGGTGTGTCCATCGGAAGTCCAGTCACGTGCTGCACACCGCTGCACAGTATGCACGATACCTCGTGCCATCGCTTGCCGAAACCAGTTGATGTGGCCACCTTATGACTCTTTCAACTTAAAGACTTGCAGACACATTCGGCGCCAATGGTAAACTCTATCTGGCTGCGCAAGCCACCGCTTTCTAAGATAATTGGGAGCTATGTCGGAGTAAGTGGTCCAGCCTGTAGCTCGCGTGGCGCGGCAGCGGTTGGGCACCAATGCTCCAAGTTGCGGGCGGCTGCTAAAGTCTCAGCGGAGTAACTAGAGCGCAGTCGTAACCGATGACACTTACAGAGCGCATCTATAAGGTGCACGACTGCCGTTCCGCGAGGAATGTGTCCACACCGTCGCATGCTGGCACCTCGGATGTCGCGCCCCTTGACTGAATCGTCGGCATCGCCCTCAAGCCGACGGTCGCTGGAGACGCCTTATAGGCCCATGATTGCTGTCGAAGTCATCGTTTGGCGCGCATTTCACTTGGGGCATTGTTGTAGCTTGCGCGTTGCGGCGTTGAGCAAGCGCACCTGTCTGTTGATTCGCCCCTGGACACGCTGCAAAAGACCGCGCGCGACGTTGATCGCGCCCGGGCAATCAAGGCGCATGCTGTCGCACCACGCAACAATATTTATAAGTGTGTGACACAGTTGCATTCGCCTGTGCTTCTGCTTTGGCTCCTGTCTATTCTGGGCGCATGGTGCGCAGACGTTCAACGTGCTGGTCAAGGCCATGCTGGACGTGGCCACCCTCGGGCTTGGCATGCCGCGCGGCGCAGTCTGTGCACCTGTGCTCGTTGGGCGAGCAGAGGCTGGGTGCCTCATCTACGCATTTGACGCAGATGCCAACGGTGTCATCGACTCCTGCCGCGCGCGCGCTCGGCCGCAAGGGGGCCCGGTTACGCGTCGAACTCCTCGTCGCAAGAGGTTGGTCTGAGCTTTAGTGCCTGCAAGCCCTTGGGGCGCCTGTGGCGCTCGAGACATTTCGGGCCTGGTCGCGATTGGCAACGGGACCGAAACCTGGCAGCGTTCCCACGCCCGAAGCTGGGCCACATGGCAGTGCGAAGCATGTCCAGTGGCTGCACCTCGCTCGCGACGCGCCCGGCCCCCCGCGGAAGCGTCGTCTCTGCCCGCGGACGCAGCGACCCATGGTCCAGGACCTTTTGCGCGCGGCCGCGAGTGCGAGTTGTCTCCGACGGGCCCGCCGAGCTACTCCCTAAAAGGTCTCCGCGTCGAAGGCCTCGAGCAGTATGGCAGTCTTTTCCCTCTCGCCCCTCTCGTTCGCGAGCTTCCACGTGCGAGTTTCCATGTGCTCGCTTTTCTCGACGTCGCGACGTTCGGCGCGATCTTGATTTCCTGCTCCCGAAAACAATCGCTGCCGAACCGCGCCGAAAGTTCAGCGCGGAAGAAGCTGGTTACATTAACAAAGCGCGCCCGCGTGTCAGCATTCGCAAGAAGGTCGTCTTCCTCGGCGACAACAGCTCCTCTGGCACAACGGGCACGCGCGCGCGTCGTAGTTCTGGCCGTCGCTACGTTGTTCCGCCAGGGCAGCGCTCGCTGGAGACGCCACTGGCTAAGCAAGGCGCTATCTGATGACCGTGGTCTTCCGACTCCAGCCATTAGGTCTACTCGCGCACAGATGCATCCACAGGGGCGACATTCTTCTCCTGGGCGTCGTCCCGGCGACAGTTCCGTTATTGCATGTGCCTTGCTCTTCGCTGGCCGCAACCGCGAGCGCGCTGTTTTCGGTGATATATCAGCCAGCGCTGCATATGGGGATTCCAATGGGGCGCCCCCCATGAGCCCCCATTCCGATGCCCCATGCCTTCAGGACGCGCGCTCCGATGTCAGCGCCCGACCCCTCGCGGAAAGGCGCGGGGCGGCCACCGCCAGGGGCGAAGGGCTGCAGCTGCCCCGCCTGAGCGCGTCCGCTCGATGGCCGCGCGTCTCGGATTCGGACAGGTCTTCGTCGAAGCCTGCCTGGGGTCTGAGGAAAAGTATTGAATGTCTCGTGTGTGGGTTAAACCGGTGAAACCGCGTATACTTATGGCATGGCTGTGCCCTCGGGTTGTGAATAGTTGAACCCTGGAGCGCCGTCGCCGTCGCAAATAAAAGGGCGCGCAACTATCAGCGCAGGGCGCTGCTGTCAGCCCGTGCATGCGTTTATCGAAGCGTGCAGTCGCCAAGTTCGTTCCTGCTGCTGAGCTAAACGCCCTGCGGCGAGAGTCTGCTAGCCGCGGCCATCCGAGGGCGCCCCTGCTTGGCGGACAACTAGACGAGCGCCGTGGCGGGCTTTCCCCGATGAAGACGTCTGCGTATACAGCGTGGCGCAAGTCTGGATATTGTGCCAGACCTTCCTGGCCGCCAACCATGGCTACGGCCTGACCTCGGTCTGGGCAGGTTCTTGCGTTTGGCAGAGCAAGGCCCACTGCGTCCCCCCACATCGCCCCCGGCGGAAGTAGGTCCGCGGTAGTCCACGGGGTCCTGTGGCTAATGGCAGCGTTGCCCAGCTGGTGTCGTTTTGGCGAGCAAAGCTCGGCCAGCCTCGGCTTCTGCAGTGCCCTGTGCAACGGCTTCAGTGCATACCTCGCTGAAGTTCGGTGGTCAAACCAGTTTTCGGCCATGCATGGCTCGACGTGGCGATGCGCCGCTGAATAATGCGCGCGCGCTGGAAACGCAAGAAGGATGTCGAGTCTCTGCAACTCTCCCCCCTCCATGACGCGCAGCGCGCGCGTCGTGGAGCGCCGTCGCGCGCGCCGATGGCAGCGTCGCGGCGACTTTGGGCGCCGACGCGAAGCCCCCCGCCTCTGGACTTCAGGATAGCCTTGGCAGCATCATGGCTCAAGGCACTCCCACCGCAAAATACAATACCATAGCTGGGCCGCTTTGCTTGCAACTGTGGTGATGGGCGCCGAGATTGCGCGCGTGGCCTGATCGGCAACCTGTAGACCCGCCGCCCATCGAACGCATCAGTCGAAGATGAGAAGCACAATGCGTCGCTAGTAAAACATCGGGCCGCACACTGCATCTTCGTTGAAACTGCCGGGAAAACGGATAGACTAGGACGAGAAGATTCTAGACGCAAATTGTTATTGAAACGTTCCGGGGATTCCGGGATTTCTAACAGCCTTCTCGCGGGGTGCACACTGCGTCGAACAATGTCTGCTTTGCCTGGCGCCGCTGGCAGGTCACCCATTCCCAATCGAGTGGTCGCCCGTGGGGGGCTATCTGGCACTTCCTGATCCCCCTTCTCGTTGCCGGGCGCGGGGGGGGGGCGGTGGCGCGCCGCCCCGTCGCCCGCCGCCGCGCGCTGCTCGCCTCGGCGGATTTCCAATGACCTGGCATGGCAGATCACGCGCGACTTTGGAGAATTCTCCGAGGGTCGATTTGGAAACATCCAGCATCTCTTTAATAAAAAGCCAATCTTATTGTCGGTGAAGCCCTGGAATCGATTTGGAGACACTCAGGAGGCGATTCTGGAAGATCCAGAAATCCATGTTGCAAAAATCTGGATGTCAAGATTGTTCAAATATCCTGTGCAGCGGGCGCATTCCACGCCTCATTTCTGTAATAACATGAAACCAAACTCCTTTTTGCATAATTCCGGAACCTCTTCCGCGAACAAAAAAAAACAACGGCGCTTCCTGGAG